GCTTCTCCTTCCTCAGAACTTCTAACACTTCTTGCAAGTGTCTGCCATGCTCCTCTTGGCTTTTCGAATAAATCAGAATGTCATCTATAAACACTATCACAAATTTATCTAGGAACAGATTACAAACCCTGTTCATTAAATCCATGAATGCTGCTGGAGCATTGGTCAATCCAAACGACATAACCAAGAACTCATAGTGTCCATATCGCGTTCTGAATGCAGTCTTCTCGATATCTTGCTCCCTTACTTTCAGCTGATGATATCCTGACCTTAGGTCGATCTTTGAAAAATAACTTGAACCTTGTAGTTGATCGAATAGGTCATCAATCCTTGGCAACGGATATCTATTCTTTATTGTTGCCTTATTCAGCTCTCAGTAATCAATGCACATCCTCATGCTTCCATCTTTCTTCTTTACGAATAACACCGGTGCTCCCCAGGGTGATGAACTAGGTCTCATGAAACATTTGTCCAATAACTCCTGAAGTTGCATCATCAGCTCCTTCATCTCCGTTGGTGCTAATCGATAAGGTGCATTTGCAATTGGCGTTGTTCCGGGTAACAAGTCAATACGGAATTCCACTTGTCGATCAGGCGGTAATCCAAGAAGATCTTCGGGAAATACTTCCGGATAATCACATACAACGGGAATATTTTGCATCACCTTATTTTCCATCTTAGCATCGATCACGAATGTCAATTATGATGTTCATCCTTTGGTCAAACATTTTCTGGCTTTCATTAGAGAAATGATTCCATAATTTACTCTGTGTTTATCTCCATACACCATAAATGACTCTTTCCCAGGCAGGTTTACTTTGACTATCATCTTTTTGCACAATATCTCGACATCATTGGCGCTAAGCCAATCCATTCCTAATACGATGTCGAAACCATTAAGTTCTATAAGCAATAATTCCTCGTGGAACTTATTCCCATTTAAGTCAATTAAGATGTTTTTCATACGATGGCTAACAGGTACAAAATTGCCACTAGCAACTTCGACTAATAAAGCATTATCTAGTCTAACTACAGGCAAAGCTAGTTTTCTACCAAATTCATGCGATATAAAGGAGTAGTTGGCTCCAGAATCAAATAAAATTTTGGCAGGCAAATTGTTAACGAGAAAGGTACCTGAATCAACATCAACTTCATCTTTAGCAGCTTCCAGTGTCATCTGGAATGCTCTCGCCTTTGGCTTTGGCGGAATGTTGGGTCTTGCTTCTTCCTTCTTTTTCGGACAATCCCTTGAGATGTGCCCCTCCACACCGCAACCATAACATACATTCTTGGTGAGGGTGCAGTTGTTGGCATAATGCCCTGACTTTCCACATTTGAAGCATGTGACCATTTCCCCGTCACATTTCCCATGATGCTTCTTCTTGCACTTGTCGCACCATTTCGCCTCTACCTTTCCTCCACTTCCTTTCGAACCAGATTTCGAGAATTTACTTTTCTTGCTGGATCCTGAAGATCCCTCGAACTTCCTCTTTTCACCAGCATCTATCCTTTCCAGAGCCTTTTCCTTCTGTTAGGCCTCCACGTTCTTAGCTGCTCGAACAGCCATTTTCAGAGTAGTTGCCATCTTGATTGTCGGACCAAAGTCGGTAGGCAGTCCATTAGCGAACCTCTCAATCTTGGAGAGTTCTGTTGGCACTAGGTATGGAAATAACTTCAATTTCTCAGTGAATGCTGTAGCATAGTCATCTACACTCATCTTCCCTTTCTTCAAGTTTTGGAACTCATTATTCAGATCAATCAGATCTATCTCTGAACAATATTACGCCCTTAGTTGTTCCAAGAACTCCTCTCATGACATTTTCAAAGCTTCTCCTCGTGGCATAGTATCTGCCAACAATTTCCACCAGCTCAAGACTCCAGTCTTCAGTTACCTAACTGCAAAGACAGTCTTCTGTTTGTTGCTATAGTCGCAACTTTCAAATACCATCTCCATTTCGGAGATCCAATCCATAATATCAACACGCTTTGGGCTCCCAGAAAGACTTGGCGGTTTGGCGCCCAAGAAATTCTTGTACATTCGCCCATCGTTGTTGTTTCTCCTTTCCGGATCGTTCCTTCGTTCTTCTTGAGTCCCAATTTGACTCACAATGTGACTAATGTTCCCTTCCTCCGATCGTTCGGGAATCGGTTCGGTTTCCACGTTAGGTATGATAGGTTCGTCCCTATTTCCATGCAACATTTGTCGCATTTCTTCCATTTGTTCGACTAACATAGCCCGAATCATGGCTTCCACTCCAACCATGGTGATCTGTTCTGGTGCAGCAACTTCAACAGCTACTTGTTGAATCACAGGCGCTTGATTCCTGTTCTCGTTTGCGTTTCCAACACCGCTTCTTCTTCTCACCATTTTTGATCTATACACCAAATAAGGTGAAATTTAGATCTTCATTCACGATAGATATTCAAGTCATCCTTATCACTCCGAAAATGATTACATGCTAGTTCTAATATCGTAGACATACGCTTAGAATCCTAAACACATAAACCTTCAGATCTAGTTCGTAACAAACCGTAGATCCGAACAAATAATATCATATATGGAAACATATAACATTTAGCACATAAAAGCATTTTAGGCAACTTTCCTAAAATAAACTAGTGCTTGTGTCTAAAATTTAACAGACACACACCTCGATCTCCACTTAGCATTCTATGTTTAAGTTTAGAAATCCTACAAATTCCTAATTCGCTTAAACTAATGCTCTGATACCAACTATGACATCCCCAAAATCTCGGCCAGAAAAGACCGATTTCATTTATGCTTTTTAAAATAATTTCAGAGTAAATCCTTTTAATTTTAAAAGAGATGCCGAATTTGTTACCAAAAATAAAACATGATAAAATAGATATTTATCAAAACATTTTATAAAGAAAAATAATTTCATTTCATAATCAAAAGTCGGGATGTCATGTTCCGATACAGATCATAAAGCATAAACGATAGCATTACAAGTCATTCAACAAATATATACATATACAGACTTGTAAACAAAACAACTTGATGATTCGCCTATCTTAAGCTCTTGCGCCACTTCCTGTAATACAAATAAACTGAGTGGGTTAGGCTTGGGAGCCTGGTGAGCATATAGGGTTTTCAACCCACAATAAATAATTATATTTAATTCAACAATCAACAATAAACCCGATTACCCATTCCTGTTATCCTCACTTTCCGTCCCTAAAAATAACATCTATTATAAGGAACCTAATTCAGGATTTTCATCGGGACGGACATTACTGCAGAGGGGCTTCCTCAACAATGAGTGTGCTAAAGGCAACCATGTGGGGGATAGAGTACACCGGTGAACACGTCGTTCACAACACCTACAGGTAATGAGCCTGCTAGTGTTCCACAGGACAGTCTAGAATAGTCCATGGTCGTCATCCATACTCTACTGAATGATTATAATAACACCAATAACACCGAGACCTCTCATCTGTTTATTACACACCAATTATCTACCCATGTTCTACCCAACATATTAGTAGATAAAAATATACATTTTTATACATTGTTTAAAAACTTGTATAGCATGCTTTAATCAATACATATTCCACATAATAGATGAGGTATACACACATAACATGTATTTGATAGAGAATACATCATATCTATAAGATAAAAGAGAGTGAATATACACTCACACGTATAACAACAAAATATATACACATAACACGTATTTTATATAAAATACTTCATAATATTGCGTTGGAATGAAAATAACTACACACTCACTTGATCAGAAGATGATCGGGCAGCACTACGGCTTGCAGACGAGGTGTTTCTATGTAGATCTGGAAGATCTTCACAAAAACCGGCTACTCGTGGGCAGAGCTTCGGCTCGGGAATAACGCTCTTCGGGATCGTCGGGGCTTCGGATCTTACTTCGGGGCTCGGAAATATTACCGAGGCTTCGGGGTACAAACGGCACGCAAATCGAGGAAAAACTAGAGAGAGGAAAGAGTTTGTACAAGAGAAAATGGTTGATCTTGGTTTCCATTTATAAGCTGCGGGTCTAGGATTACGCTGGGCATAATCTCAATTTACGCTGGGCGTAAATTGGTTACGCTGGGCGTACTTTGAAGTCACTGCATACGTCGATCGGTGGCACTCGAGTATTGGTCAGACAAGTTGCCTCCTCCTGAGTACGCTTGGCGTACTCAAATTATGCTCAGCGTAATTTGACTTGTCAAACTTCTAAATTGCGCAACTTTCGCATACGAGCTCCGTTTTCGACGTTCTTTATATCCACGCGTAGGTCAGACCATACTCTACAACTTTCATTTAGACTCCGTTGGCTAATTTTGAATTTTATTTTTATTACTTATTTTTAGAAGGCCGGGACAGAAAAACTTCGTTATAAATTCATAACTTCTTCATCTGACATCTGTTCTCGCCTAACTTTTCATCATTTCGCTACTAACAATGAGATCTTCGATTCTCGTTTAGATTGGTTCGGCTAAAAACCGCTCGATTTCATATCGAGTATTCGGGCTGCATACTGCCACGTCGAAACTTCAGAAAATCATAACTTCCTCATACGAAGTCAAATTTGGGCGTTCTATATATATATATATTCGAAAACCTCATTTCAACTACTACAACATTATCCAATGATATCAAGTTTATTTTACACTTAAATTTTGACGCTCATTTTATTCTTAATTAATCATATCACACAATTAAGCAATTAAGCACAAAACACATAATACTCAAATAATACGTTCTTATTATTTCAAATTGAGGTTACAAAGGTTAACCTAGACTATTACATTGCTAAAAATGGCAAGCCCAGAAACACAGGCGTTACAATATATATATATATATATATATATATATATATATATATATATATATATATATATATATATCACATGTATTACCCCACTACATCAAAACCTAATTACTCTAAGGTCACAGGTTTGTCTTGGCTGCATCCAGTTCCATCCTTGACTTTAACATTTTTTTGAAGACCAATTTATGTGATTCTTTTTGAAAACTTTCTCACCCTACCAACATCATTCAATGAAACCTTCTTCATAGGACATCTCTTCATAGGACCCTTCTTCACAGGAGCCTTCTTCACAGGAACCTTCTTAACAGGAGCCTTCTTCACATGACTTGGCCCTACCGTGCTTGAATCTGGAGTTAAATGACTTGGACATCCTGTGGTTGGAGTTGGAGTTGGCTTACTTGGGCATGTGGCTTTTTTGTGGCCAGTTTGGTGGCAAATGGTACATCTTAGAGGAATGTCTGCCCTTAACACAGTATGCCTTGTGTGCCAACTTAGCTCTCTTTCTGCCTGATCTCTTTTCCTTTTGACACATGGCCTGCCATGTAACCTCCTCTTTAATGGAGGCAAAGTAGTATGAAGTCCTTCAACATGTGGCCACTCAGAACTGTCATTGAGTGGATGGATGTTATACTCATAGCTACTAAGGAAAGAGGCTTTAGTATATGGGTTGGATACAAAAGCCTCCACATCTAGGTTCAATGATGAAATTGCCGATATGGCATGTACACATGGAATGCCTGCGAGTTGCCAGCTTTTGCATCCACATGCCCTCTGATTCAGATCAATAGCATACCTCTCATTTCGTGAGAACACTTCAAATTCTTTGTAGCCACTCACATAAGGCACCCATAATTTTTCAATATAGAAGAAGATATTCAGTTACCATTATAAAACCTATGTATAAATAATGAAATAGTTACTAACCTTTGCAATTCTTCCAAATCCTCTATTTCCCTTCTGATACTTGGGCATATGTCCAAATCCCAACTCAAACCATTTTGCTTCTCCATCCATAACCTCTGCATTGCCCAACATCTTATGTCCTCCAACATTGTTATCAATGGTTTCCTTCTAGCATTAAGTACAACAGAATTGAAACTTTCATAAACTCGATTCTCTACTGCATCACAATCCATACCCTCTCTAAAAAAAGCCTTTGACCAAAACCTTGGATCCTTTTCTATGAGATAGTCATAAACCCTACTTTCCAAGGACTTAATCTCATTCATTGCTGCTTCAAACTTAGGTACAGTTGTTGCATTCACAGCCCTCCAACATGGTTTAAAGTATTGTTCTCATTTAAATTTTTTTGTGGAAATTAGCTAGAATGTGTCTAGCACATAATCTATGCTCCACATCAGGAAGTCTTTCCTTTACGGCTTCAAATAATCCCTGATTCAAACAACAAAATGATTAGTTAATTAAATGACCAAAATAGTTAAAGTTAATTAAAAAAAATATAATGATTACCTTGTGGCCATCTGAGAGGATTGTAATGCCATGACCATTCCCCCCCTCCAATGTCTTCCATCAGGTTGTCCAAAAACCATTTCCATGTCCTTTTATTCTCAACATTGACTACTGCCCAAGCTAAGGGATAAATGTTATTATTAGCATCTCTACCCACTGCTGATAGGAGCTCCTCTCTACAAACACCCTTAAGAAAGCAACCATCAACCCTAATTACCTTTCTGCATCCATCTAACCACCCATCTACAACACCTTTAAAGCTAACATAAAACCTATCAAACACCACAGTATTATCAGGTTGTGGCTCCAAGAACACCTCAACATGTGAACCTGGATTAGCCCTTTTGATTTCAGCTGTATAATCCCACAATTTGGCATAATGTTCTTTCAAACTTCCCTCAACTTCAAACAATGCTAACGTTTTTGCATTCCTACACTGCCTAACACTCACATTAATGTTGTATCTCTTAGATACCAGGGCTTTCATTTTCCTCAAACTTAGTTTAGGACTCTCCAAAACATCATTCACATATTATCCACTTATATGTTACAATTGAACCAAGTTTGAAAGCCATAGAACACTTGTGCTCTGTTATAAGAGACTTAATATGAAAAGTGTGTTCCTCTTTCATCCAGGAAGCATACAATCTAAAAGGGCATGCGGGATTCTTTCCTTTACAACACCTAACTAGCAAGCTAGTCTTGTCATTCCTTTCATACCACAGATCATAACCATTTGCTACTGCATAGCAACTAAGAGAGTATTTAAGTTCAGCAGTAGCAAAGTATTTCATACCTAATCAAGGCTTCATCTGATTCCATTCTTGAGTATGATCATGTCTTGGGTAGATAGGCCGTATTGCATTATGATCTTCTTCAACCAAGTCATCATTCTGTATTGGACAAAGTTTGTTGAGGAATGGATCATTGAAATTTATTTTGAGAGATATAACTTCATTGTCCTCTACATGTTGAGCTTTCAGACCATCTTCTAAAATGGAGTCGACATCATCAATATAAACCAAATCATCATCTTCAAGGTCTGGTTCTTCCTACCGAATCCAATCAAACAAAGGTTCATGATGATGATCCACATACACATCTAATCTCTTCTTTTTATTCATATCTTCAAGAAACTCGTTAAAATCACAGTTATTCTGAATAGCATGTAATCCCTCCGACAACATCACTTCATGTGGACAGTAATACACATCTCTACATCTTCCGTTAGTAAGCTTTTCAAGAAAGGGGATGAAATCATCAAAGTTCGTCTTCTTCACAACCGTCTGAGGTACCGAGGCTTTTACTCCATCAAAATAAATCAATGGGGTAGGTGTAAACAGCCCTTGATAGTGTACATTAACGATCGTATATGCATCTTCTGCCATTGTTGATTGTAATTGTGAATCAAGAACTTTGAGGGATTATCGACTGAGTGAATGGAGGAATGGCTGATTAAATGAGACCTAATTGTCATTTTATCCACGTATGATGACAAATATTCAATTCATTTCAAGAAAATAAAAATTATATGACTGGTATACCGGCTATACCAGGTCAAAAGGATTGAACAATTACAAAAAATCAAATATAAAGGCTTAATTTACAAAAACAAAAAAAAGGACGATATGTGTACATTTCAAGAAATAACTTACCCTCTCAAGTGATTTTCCCTTGTGATAAATGTTTACATCAGTGTAGGACAAATGTTATGTGATAAGTAATTGAATAATGCATTTCTTGCTTTATGTTCGACTAAATTTGGAATGTGATGTTATCAATGGATTAATAATTTGTAATGGGAAATTTTAGTTTCACTTATTTTTCTCAAAGCAAACACATTATATATTTAAACGACATGAATGAGTTTTCATCGGTCAAATCAAATTGAATATTTGAATCTGAAATGTCAAACCAGTATTATTCATTATTTATTGGTTACTTAAATGCTCTTTAACTTCTAAATTTTTATTTAGAGATGGCGAAATTTTATAAAAGCACAATAAAAGTTTTCCAAAGGCAACAAATCCAATAGTTCAATTACATTTACTAAAATTATCCATAAATATCACTTAAACCAGTAAAATTACAAGAATGATCCCTATGATATGTCAAAATTAGTATGTTTGGGCAAAACCGTTTGGGCTAGAATCAATGATCCAAAAGTTTCATTTTTCTTGCAAGTTTGGTCCAATTTGAATTTATTGTTTTTGTAAAGAAAATTTTGCACTTATTATTTAATTTTTCATTTTATTTTATTACCAGCATTTAAAAACAATAAAAATAAACAAAAATAAATTACCTCTCTCTCTCTTTCTCTCTCTCTCTCTCTCTCTCTCTCTGGGTTTGTTCTTCAAAAATCAAGAACACACATAGTTATGAAAAAAATATAACTTTAACTTTTATGGCTTTGTTCTTCAAAATACACACATACACACACTCAAGAACATATAAAGACCAATTCTTATAAACATATACACACTCAAGAATACTCTTTGAAATCGTTCTGGAAATGAAAATCACACACAAAATATGGGTTATTCTTGAATTTTTCCCTAGAAAATGAGTTTATTCTTGATTTCCAGAAAGGAAAATCAAAATCATTCAATTCGTCGGTATAGAACTGTATGTGCGTTCAAAAACAAAGTTTGTTTGACTCAAGGATTATACCCAAAAAGACACTCAGATCAATGAAATCAACTCTCCTTCTCAAATGGACCAGGGACAGATTTGTAACACTTGGTCCTGAAGGTTTTGAAGAGAGAAGTATCAAGCCTGGAAGAGACATCTTAGATCTAGAAACTCTATCAAAGGCTGCATCTTGGAGGGAGGTGGCAGAGCTGATACTAATAGCTTTGACCTACTCAGCTACAGTTAACATTTTAAGTGAGTCTCCTCATCATACCAGTGGGTCGAAGGCACCAAGGCCGGCTCATTACGTGTTATGTGGTATGTTAGTTGATTATGTGGTACGTGATATGCTAGTTGTCTTGTGATACTTGCATTGAAGACCCCGTGGGGGATCCCATGACACTTGGATATCAGACCATGTGGGGGTGCCCATGACATTCTAGGTAAAGACCATGGGGGTGTCGATGACATTTGGTTGTTAAACCATATAGGGGTGCCCATGGCATTCCAGGTAAAGATCATGGGGTTCCCATGACACTTCGTTATAAGACCATGTGGGGGTGCCCATGGCATTCCAAGTAAGACCATGGGGTACACATGACACATAGGTGTAAGACCCTAGGAGAGCCTACAACATCTGTATATGTTTATATGGATGGCTTGTATGGCTGATATAGTTATATGATTATGCGGATTGTGTGGGGTATGTTATGGGGAACTTACTAAGCGTTAGCTTATAGTTTGTTGGTTGTTTCAGGTACTTCAGGATCTAAGGGCAAAAGCCCGACGTGATGGCACGACATGCACTCTCTGACATTTTACTAAGACACTCTGATATTATTAATAAATTGTTTGATGTTATGGATTTTAAAAACAAATGTGATTGGATTTTTATATTTTATGGAAATGATTTCGTACATAAAAATAGAAAAAAATAATTGGCAATTTGGGTCGTTACAGGATCTCAAGTCTGGTTTACCCACACAAATGGAGCAGCGAATCTACCAACACCCACCACTACCATCACTGCTTCTTCATCTCTGGTCATGTTGTAACATTTTGATGCTAAGATACTTCAAATTTCAATCCTTTAATTTATTTATATTGCAATTGGTCCCAAAGTTCAAGAATAATATGCAAAAGGGCCTTAATGGCATTTTGGTAAATTATGGCTTCGGAGTATGCCATGCGTTCATGGTGTATGTTGAGTGTACTAGAGTGCACCCTAGTACATTGGGGGTACATCCTTGTACATTGGGCGTATTTCCTAAATGGGAAAGCCCTAATTTTTAGTGTTTGGCTGGTATTTAAGCATCCTTATGGCCTCATTTCCCATCACCTTCTTAGCCTCTACCCTCTCATTCTTGTGGTAACCCTAGAACCACCTTGTGAAGCCATTTCAAGCCTTAAACTGTGTGTTGTTTTCTTAGAAGAAGGAGGAAGGAAGCCAAGATCATCTTTAGAGAGTGTGGTACTTTGGATTTGGGATTTACTCTTCATTTGCAACCCTTACGAGCTATAAAGCTTGCATCTTGATCTTTTAATCTTGTAGATCTAGTGTAATAGCCAGGATTTCCAGGTATCTTTTATTCGCATATTTTTTGGTGTTTTGTGAGGGGACTCGGCGAGTTGGAGGTCGAACTTGCCGAGTAGGGTTGCGGTTCTGGACGCGGGTTCGTGCCTGGACTTGGTGAGTCCAAGGGATGGACTAGGCGAGTCCGTGTTGTTTGATGAAACCCTAATTTTTCCAGTCCTAAGCTCTATTTAAAGGACCTTATGGCCCTTCATTGCGGCCACCTTGATCCTTGAGAGCACCAAAGCAGCTAAGGGTTCCTGTTAGTGAGATAAGAGGCTATTGTTCACCAAATTTGTGTGTTTTTTCAAGAAAGGAAGGGGGAAAGCAAGCTAGAAGAGTTGGGAGGTTGGATCTACTTCCATTTCGCCAAGGGAAGCTTCTTGCGGTATCTTTCAGAGCTTATTTCCGTGTTTATGTTGATATGGTCAAATCTAGGGTTTCTTCTTGCCTTATTTTCTTTGTAATTGAAGTGTGAGAGGTCCCATGGAGATATGGTACCTAGATCTGGACTTTAGCAGGTCCAGAAAGTCCCAAATGCTATGCTTTATGTCCTTCCTTTTGGGTTGGAGGCTAGGGTTGCCATATTAGTGGTCATTTCTCCAAAAAGAACCTTGTAAGTGTTGCATGGTGGCCAAGACTGTGACTTTACGTGATAAATGAGCTTAGTAAGGCCAGATCTATGAGTTTATGGAGCGGATCTGACCTCAGAAGCAAGTTTGAGTCGATGCATGGCATGGACTTGCCGAGTCTGAAGAACAGACTCGGCGAGTAGCATGAAGATTGTCCTTAACCACTTAGGAGTGGTCCTGCCGAGTTATGGTTGACTCAGTAAGTCACGGGGAGTTAGAGAGGGATTGACAGGTGGACTGAGTCGTGCTGGAACTCACCGAGTTGTCCTTGCGACTCGGCGAGTTGAGTCGCGGTGGCCCTGCGATTCATGACCAGGTGGAACTCGTCGAGTCAGGGGAGTACTCGACGTGTCAAAGGGAAATCCTTGCGATTTGGTGAAAACGCTTAGACTCGCCGAGTTGCTTTAGTGCACTCGCCGAGTCCGGTCAAATTGACCATTGACTGTTGACTAGAGTTGACCAGTGTTGACTTGATAGGGATAGTCAACCTTAGTGGTTAAAGTATTAATTAGAGATATATGATGTTATAGGAGGATTATAGCTCGGGGGTTAGAGGACGAGTGATTTCCAGGGTTCGCGAGTTATCGAGATATACGAGGTGAGTCTTCTCACTATACTGTACCCTGAAGGGTTTGACTGTGTGACCGGAAGGTCGAACATGATATGACATATATGCATTATGTGTGATAAGTTAATCGTTATGTGCCATGTATGATATGCTTGATATGGGCCGGAAGGCATTACGTTATGGGCCGGAAGGCGAATATGTTACAGGCCGAAAGGCGTTGTAATATGGACCGTAAGGTTGACGTGGGTAGTACCGGAAGGTTTACCCAGTCGGGACGGAAGTCCCCTAAGACACATGAACCAGAAGGTCAGGGCCTGGAAAGGCGTATGTGTGTAGGTTGTATTTTGGGGAACTCACTAAGCATTTATGCTTACAGTTGTTGTGTTATGTGTTTCAGGTACTAGCGAGGACCATGGGAAGGCGCCGGCGTGATCGTACACACACTCGGGAAAAACTATTTTTGTGATCTTTGTTATGTAATCGGTCGTGACAATATTGTTTACATTGGAATCTAAATTATTACTCGATGTTTTGATGTTTGTAAAAATGAAAATTTGGTTTTAAAATTTACGTCGTTACATCTAGAAATGGGTGTTTTAGTGATACTTTTTGGTCCCACATGTCTTATCTTGAGCATGGCATGTTCTTGACGATTTAAGTTGTCCTTACAGACCCTAGGAGGGGTCCTAAGTCAAAAACATAAAGTCCCAATGGTTAGTTTTGAACCATGCATCTTGTAGAAGATCTTAATGGATGAAGACCTTGGGTTAAGCACTTAACGGGCATGTAAGGTCATAAAGTTAGAAACTTTATGACTCTAGAGTGTATTTGAGCCTTGCATCTGAAATATAGACATAAGCGCTTAAGCCATTAAGCACTTATTGAGTTTTAAAGGTTAGGAGGGTACACCCTATGTACTCGTAGTATGCCCTACGTACGAGGTCAACTACCCTAATGGTGGTCAACTACGAGGGTTGGAGTATA